CTGACTCTGCTGTTATTTTTGTTTAAATAGATACACATAATCTTCATGATGTCTGTAAAAAATGCCTCCCCCAAACCCTTTGTCTCCCAGAAGCAGTGTTTATCTGCAGCGATTAACACAAGGGGAAGTTTATCCCAGAGCCTCCTTTCCCCCAGCAGATCTTCTGACTTGTCTGTAATCAGCTCCTGCCTTTACTCCACTAGCCCACCTGCAACTGGGATTTGCCCATGCTATAGTGGCAAACTGGCACAACATTGTGGTAAATGCACATTATTCGGCTGTATTTGCTCACTTAAAAGCAGCACAGAGGCCCTCTCATGAATTTCCAGCCTATAACAAAACAAGTGGAGCGTCCCCAAACTCCATGCTGATGCCCTCAGGCATGAGGTTAACCTCCCCACCAGCTGGGACCCCTCTGAAGTTGGCAGGTAAAGCACATCCCAAATTTGGATCCTGCTGGATCCTAACTGTAATGAGAGGTAAGAGGACTTTGCGATCCGGTTAGGCTGACGCCCACATAGTTACAGAAATACCTCTGTGTTTTTCTAGACAGGTCTTCAGAGATTTATTCTCTTTCCTGAATTACGGTATGTCTACACTGGCTTATGCAAAGTTATCCCACCAGAGAGACGCCAGCTCCAAACCAAAATCTGTGTGACTGTGTGGCGTGCTCAGGATGAATCCAGCTCAACAAATCAGTCTGGATCATAAAACTTTACTTGTTCTTTTGCCTTGAGTGCCTTGAAATTTAGAAGAGTGTCTGAAGAAGAAAGCACGGATGCTCAGAACGGCATAATCTGGCACCCTCACTCTCCAAACTCCAGCACTTCTTTTTAATTTTTGTATTAGCTTGGAAAGGATGGAGGAAGATCCATCCTTGCACTGAATTTGTGCTTTGAGTCTATTTCTGCCTTTTGTTCCTTCTCACTTCTAGTATATAAGATCTTTGACATAAGATCTACAAAAACCTCATCAGCTTTGCTAAAAATGTGCCCTTCATTTTTAAGATTCTTCATGGCTAAAGTACAAGAGCTAAAGAGTAGTTTGTTCATGAAGAATTGCCTATGACAAGATTATGATGGACACTGGGATATGTAACCTTTGTCCTTATGAACTGAGATCAGCGATACAATACATGTCAGTATTCACTTAAAAATGGGGAAGACAACTCTTTGAATGTCTGCAAAATAGCGGTCTCCTTCAGATAAATCCCGTATCTTCATAGCCTGAGTGCTGTCGAAAGCCATTAAGAAATTTGCCCCAAGACGCATAAAGCCATTCTTTCTCTTCTAAATGATTTCTTAACCCTTTAATGTAATGAATATGGAATATACTAAAGATACTAGACTTTAATTTAGCTGTCTTTTAAATCTAAATATTCTATTCTAAGCATTCTATCCACATCTTTTGTTCAACTAGACATGTTTTAATATACTCCTTTGGAAACGAACTGTATTTGCATAGTGAACATATTTGTTCATTTAGTAAATGTTACACTTTTGACTGGCCTTTCTGGACAATTTATTTTCTTTAATGTTTCTTCCTTAAGTTTTTTATTGCCTTTACTAGGATAAGCCAACAATTTTCTGCTGTCAAGCTTTTGAATACACATATATTTTAATCATGTGATTTTCCAGTTAAACTATGACTCGTTTGAAATAGAAAGGAACAGGGACTGTACAACAGCTAGACTGTGCAAACGCAAAGTTAACTGGGCACATGTCCAATTATAAATCAAAGCCAAAACAAGGGGAATTTTGAAGAGGAAAGAATGCATGGGTCAAACCGGAAAAAAGTCTCAGTCATGAGAAAATATTTTCTAGTTAAACTAAAATAGTTTTGATATTAAAATGATAATGAGGGCAAAACCCAGAAAGGGTGAAAGCTGGTTTAATCAAGCAAGAAAACACAGAGTATTTCCCCTATTTCTTTCAGTGCTGATCAGTGAGATAAATATTGACTTTTCTGTAGACTGGGTCAAGGAGGGGGAATGAGAAAAGGGATGCTATTATTTGCTTTGCTCACTAATATTAAAGTATTGATTTACCAGCTACAGCAGAAGCACTGCAAAGGAGAGCAATGTCTGCATGGCAGAATAGGTAGAAAAATAAGAATAAACCAGGAAATCAGTGAAATAATTTTAATCAGTGCTTCTCCTTTTCTGACAGGCCTGAGATGAATATCAGAATATTCTCTTTCTGCTAATGAGCTGAACTATTCTGACAGTGACCCAGATCAGCATCCTCAAGGAGCATTAAGTAAACTGAGGTTTCAAAGCTGAGCTGCATTCCTTTCTTGTCTTGTTACTGCCTCTTATTCTCTCTGTATCCATCCCGATAAGCATCAAACCGCAACTTGACAGCATTAGATACGGGAACTGGCTGGCATGCTCTGAAACCAGCACAGTCCTTTTGGCAAAACATTTTAGTACAAGCTGCCTGGAAGGTCCGTTTCCAAAGCTGAGTCACTTCCCTGCTGCAGCACGCCAGAGACAGCACTTGGGGAAAAAAAAACACCCTAAGAATCTGATTTTGTATGTATAACACAGCAAAAAGATGATCCATTTAAACATCCCTGTGTTTGTCCAGCTATTTGGTTTCATTTAAAGAACAAACACAAGCTCAGATTCTATAGCTCAGTGGGACTCTGAGGGCATTTCCTTAGCATATGATGCTGGAACAAAAGCTGGGAGACAATACCACTGCTGCACTCTGCTGTATTGTGAAGGAGCACCCCAGCTCGCTCAACTTCTGAAAACAGAAATGGTCCAAAATGTTTGCTGCTGAAATGCTACTGGCTTCTGATAATAGCTAGACTTTGAAAAGCGGCGTTTTTATCATTTAAAAATAGATACGCTTTAAGATAAAGACAGTCACTATAAAGTACTTTTTTTCTGAACAAAAAAGAAAACTTAATCTGGGCAAAAAGAGCTAAAATGCCAATCAAGTACGGTAGTAAGTAGCAAAACCGTTATTTGGATTAAGTGCCTGTGTAAAAGCATATTAAGAGTGCAGTCAAGGGAACTTAAAGTAGAACGTAAACGTTTTTTCAACACTTTTCTCAGAGCTAGTATAGATAGGTGTGTGAAAACCCCATCAGAGCAAAAAATAAAATGTGAGGCATCAAACCAGAACTTTTTAGCTGAAAATAAGAGGAAGTTGTGCTTACCTTAAAATTGTGTGCTTTTTCATAGTTGAAATGGTTGTCGTTTTGAGTTAAGGCTGCTCTTCTGACCAAGGAGGTGATCTGTGAATAGGCAAAGAGTTTCAGAGGTTGCCACAAAAGTGCCCCCTTGACTCCCACCTTCACCCCCAGGGCCACGGCCAGGAGCTCTTGGCGCTTCCTTCCTCGCTTCGACTTGTGAACAACGGCACAGTTTTTCTCATTTTCCAGCCACAGATCCTCCGAGAACATAGCGCTGGGATCCCAAATCTTTTCCCTGTCTTCCTCGGCGCTCGGGAGCCTGACTGTAGTCAGTACGGTACAGTTTGTCCAACTGCTTCTGATGTTAGACAGCAGATTTGAAGCAGCTGCAGCCCATTCTGCCGAGACCTCTGGCATGTGACTGGAATGGGCCGTCTTGTGGGACGGAAGGAGCTTCTGCATCTGAATAAGTAACGGCCTGTGCCGTGCGATCTCTTAAGGCAGATGTGTGCCTCAAACAATAGCCTGAATTCATACACTGAGCAACCTTCCCCCCACCACCTCCCCGAGCGGTGGTCTCCAGCTAGGTGCTGCCGAAATACCGGCCAGGGGGGACACGGCGTTACAGCTTTATGCCCAAAGGCATTTCCAGGGACAGATCACTTCAACTTCGCAGCATGATAAAAATGAACAAACAAACAAAAAGCCCCAGGAAAGCCCACACGACTGAATCTGATGCTGCATCCAATTACACTCAGACTCGGAGACTTATCAGCCAGCAGATTAAGACCTTAAAGCCATGATGATTGTTTAATCTTACAGGGCTAAAAAATATCTTTTTTCCCCCCCCCACCATATCCTGTGCAAAGGCAAAAATCCAGCAGCAGTCCAAGCATTAATAGCACTTTTATGCCATGTTTTAAACCAGAGCGATTTGTCAGTCTGCGCTTGGTAGCATGGCACTGGCTCACTGTCAGAGAAGTTGAAAGCCCAGCTGGAAGGATGCAGGAGAGGAAGCCCCCCAGCCCCGTGCAGTGCTCGAGGGAAGGCAAGGGAGCTTCACACGGATGTAGGAAGCCCCTGTGCACGGCCCTGCTTGCACAACAGGGTCTGCAAGTTAGCAAGAGCAGTTGTCTTTCACTCTGATTACACACGTCTATAAATTTGGGGG